TTGGGTTTTCTAAGGAGCTAAGACAGTAAGTACTAGAGTGTAAGAAAAATAATTAAGCCAGCACAAAAATGCAATAAATAAACATACTTATGTGAAACAGTTACAAACAGAGGTGTGGAGGTTTAAGATTAGGTTTCTAAAATGTCCAAAAGGTAAAAGTTAATTTCCCTCAAGAAGATGCTGTATGATGTTCAAAGAGTCAGGTGCAGAAAAACATATTTCAAACATTGGAGTGAGAATGTGTTGATGAATCATCGCCATTGTGTTTGCGTTAAATGATTTTGAGACTTTGTTTGAGATCAGGAACATATAAAGATCTATGTGGTCGTTGCAAACACAACCCTGCGTTATTTACTTTTGTCTTGGGCTACCAGGAATCTGCTGCCTGTGGCATATTAGCATGTAGCTTCCAAAGCTAAAGGTAAGGGAGGTGGACCCTACCTGTTGTAGTCTTCGATTTGTCACTGCGATGCATTGTAGCTTCGACCAGCTAACGCTTCTCGGTTCCGACACATTCTCCTCCATGTTGGATGGAAGCTCACATTTTTTTATAACAAAAAAAAAAAAACGCAAAAATAATTCAACAGAAAAAAAGAAACAGTGAAGTCATCAGTTTCTCCTCAGCTCCAAACTCCCCAACGAGATAACTCACAGTCCTGTTATCAATTTCTGCACACCTCCCCGCCTCGGCCAATCACGACCAAGACTCCCTATCCCATTGGTTGTATGACCAGGCAGGAAGTCCCGCCCCTTCTCTTCGCTTGACAGCCATGCACTACAACCTCTCAGGGACAGTGTTGCCATAGCAATATGCAATCCTCAACCATATAGTTCCTCGTCCTTCTCGTGACAATAACAATCATTGTCATTGTTTTATTACAATGAGAATCATAACTGTTATCAACATCATTGTCATAGGCATGGCTGCCATCATCAAAAGCTGCCAACATTAATTATCATTGTTGTAATATCATCATCCATGGAGTTTATAATTACAGTCAGTATGACCGCCACTGTCTTTGTAATAAAAGCTTCCTCTGCCGTTGTCATTTTTAACATTAACAACACTTTCTGTTACCATTGACAACCTCCACCACTGCCATGGCTGTCACCATCATCGACATCATCACAATTAAAAAAGCATTATCATCGTCACATTACCATCATGGTAGACAAAAGTATAACAGTCGTTAGCATTACCCTATCATTTGTGCCTTTTGTCTTCCCTCCTCTCCTTTTGTCAGGCTTCACACGTACAGTCCCCCGTACAGTGACGAACACACACACAAACACACACACACACACACACACACACACACACACACACACACACACACACACACACACACACACACACACACACACACACACACACACACACACACACACACACCTCTTACCATTATCCCCTGACCTTTTGTGTCAGAAGTTTCTGGAAGCCCTCCAAGGAGAGTTATGATGTGCCGCTACATTGTGGCCACTGCCTGCTGCGACAGAGGAAGCAGAACAACTAAAGTAGAAAAAGAAAAAAGAAACACTACAAAGGACAGAGAATGATAGAAGTGATGTAATGAGCTCTGCACTGAGAGAAACAGGAAAGGACAAACACACACACACACACACACACATACACAAAAGGAGACAGCGTTTTACCTAGACGGGCCTCATTTTAATTTCCCGCTAGATTTTCGTCTTCCTTTACCCCATTTTCATTTTGCCAATTGAGCTTTTTATTTTTTTCTAAGGCTACGTCTTTGTTTAAGTCCATGTTGGGGAGAAACCAATTTCTGCAGTTGGAAGATAGATAGACTCACTGCAATATGTATTTTCCTCCATCAGATTCCTGCTGCATAATGGATATTATATCTTTTCTCAAACAAAGGAAAGGTAAATGGGATGGTTCGTTTATCAAAGTTAAATAAAGTAAAGGTAATTAAATCAAAGTTTCATGTTTATCAAAAAGGTACAGATGATTATAATTTACAGTACAGACAGCACTTCCACACAGAAAAAAGTAAAATAAATCCACTCTATTCACATGACTGCCATGTTATCTGATGTCAGGCTCAGGTTGGGAAGCTCAATGATTTCACCACAAGGATAATGTGACCTTCATTCTTGTAGATGTTTATTTTTTCATGTGGTGAATCATTTAAAGGAAGAGAATCAAATATATATATGAATTTAACTTAATTCTGATTGATTCATAAAACATACAACCCTATTTCAAGAAGCCACATAGTTAATAACCATTCAGCAAGCATTCAGTCAGGATGCAGCTCAAATAAGTTCTCAACTATTGATCATATAGCTGGTTCCCAAGGGGAGGACCCGTACAGAGAAGAAGGACCCAGCCTTTGTAGTCTGTGCTGACTGCTCACAGCTTGGTCCCACTACTTCCTCCAAACCACAAAGAAACATGCCTGCAACTTTGACTTTCAACTTTATTATCCCCAAGGGGAAATTTGATTTGCAGCCAGGTGAACACAAGATAAAAAACAATCAGAAACACAGGCACATACACTCAGACAATACAAACAACATACACCGTGAACAACATTAAATACATAAATACAAGAGTTCATTAGGTAACAACAGGGAACAGATTGAAAAATACGCTCTGCAAAGAGTCATGCTGCCCAGCTCTGCCGCTTGTCTTGAATTAAAAAGTATTTTCAGTAAAAACAGATCTTCATTAGGTGCATTTACTAACCAGTATACCACCAAATGTTTTCTCCAAATGCTGGATTTTGACATGAAGGAAAACAGCTGTTAAATATGTGTCAGCCTGTTTAACACCACAAACTGCAGTAGTGCAGACTAGTAAGGAAGTTTTCTCGCTCATTATGTCAAATTCCTACATTCCGAGAAACAGGTGTGAACTGTTTAGTAAATAAACCGTATGAAAGTGCAGTTTTTAAAAGTCTTCTAATGTCAAAACAACAAGCAGGCGGCTGAGATGGGCAGTGCGTCCCTACACGGCTTGAAGGAAGTGTAGAGGGGCAACACACTCAGGCTGAACTGAATTGGTATGATCTGGTCGACAGAGGATTTCCTGTTTACGTAACCAAGCGCTACTTCTGTCGCCTAGCAACCTGGATAAGCTGCACCGGAACAAGCTTACGTATAACCGATGTCAAGAAACTTTAGTAGAACACATTTGAAGAAGCCTTCGGGACAACGTTCGTCGCGCCGCTATGACTCAATCGGCCTTCAAATGGGCCCTTAAACACACATGCAGCGCCTGAATTGAACCCCAACCTACTCTAACTTAAATTGCGTCAAAGCCGTCAATAAGATGTTAGTGTTTGGGAAACAGTCGGAAATATGTCATTTGTGAAATATGGCCTGATTAACATTACCTATTGTTATTTAATAGTTTTGTCAACCAGAAAGAGATGAAATAAAAAAATCCCAGAATCCCTTTAGTATATTACTTGGATCATCATCTGAGCTCCCACCCCTGAGAGTGATGTCAGAGGAAAACAGCCACCGTGTGAATATTATAAATAAAGTCACTTTCATTTCTATCACTCTGATCGAGTTATTTCAGAGTTGAAATGTTTCCCCACGGTGTTTGCATTATTTTGTCTTCCCCACTGGATTGTGAGTGCTTCTAAACGCACTGTGGGAAAACTTTCCCCACACAAACACCATCGCTCTGCCGCTCTCTCTCTCTCTCTCTCTCTCTCTCTCGCCCCGCTCACTTTTCGACATCTTTTTATTCTCTTGTCTCGGAGGTAACGCTTCTCTGTTTCCCTGCCTGGTTAATTTTTAATTCCGCCTAGACTCACTGATCTCTCTCTGGACGGGAGTCCCTCAGTGGTAAAACATCAGTGGGGATAAATGATGTGCGCGGCTGCATGTACTGATGGAGAAGGTTAGGAAGTAGGATGAAATGCTTCATCTCAGGGATACAGAAGATGAAAGCGAAAAACCTTGTTTTGAACGCGGGTTGCAGCATGTTGTTAGATCTCTCCAAGTCTTCTCATCCTTTTTGCTCACAACCGAGCGCGTACGATGTCAGGGGCTAAAGCTTTTAAATACACCCATTGCTTTGTTCCACTCTAATCATCCAAATGTAACACAGTTTAATGTGGCTAATTCTGCTCCAGCGGGCTCGCCATTCTTCCTTGGATCTCATATTTGACTGATGCAACTACATTTAAAACGAAAAGAAGAAGCAGTGTGGCATCAAAACTAGTTTTCTACTGTAAATGTATTCTCATAATGTTGTTTTATAGTGTGATCATGGGAATAATTCAGCTGTGATTTAAAAGCCAAATCAACATTCTGTCCTTCACACTAACAAGAACCCTTTTAATAATTTCTAAAGGCAAGTTCCCCATTCAGTTTTTGGTTCTATTTAATTTCCCCAGCTGTCAGTAAGTGCACTCACACATTAATATTCCCAAAATCAAGGCGAACACTCACCTACAGCGAAACAACCGTGAAGCGCTAACCTGAATTCAAATTATAATTTTAATAAAGCATCGCTTTTTCATAAAATTGTCAAACCTAATATGGCACTTTTTTATATCATGAGATTTTCATCCGGATAAATCACATACGTCTTACCTCAACATGACAGTTTAGATTGCCACTCTTACATGTTGACAGTCCATCGCCTGGAGGAAAATTAAAACCCGACACATTGGATATCCTGTTTCATTAACACCTATATGAAATTCAAAAATGGATTAATAAATAAATAAAGCAGCGTTCTGCAATCAACACAAACATGTCACTGCCTTCATGTTGAAAAATGAACGGTTTGACGCCTCAAACTAACAAGGTTTCCATGTTGAAAAAGCCAGTAAGCCAAGATTACTAAATTTAGAAAAAAAAATATTAAAGGGGAGGCAAACCCCCCCCCCCCTCCAAAAAAAAAAGTATTAAAATTGCATCTCTGGTTGTCACCTTCAATTTGTTATCTAATCAGTCCTACTGCCTTCTCCACCTCCTCCTCTTCCTCTTCTTCCTCCCCCCTTTCCCTCCAGACATCAGGGAGAGTGGAAGCCCCAAGCCGGTGATGGTTTTCATCCACGGGGGCTCCTACATGGAAGGAACTGGGAATATGTTTGACGGCAGCATCCTGGCCAGCTATGGAAATGTGATTGTCATAACTGTCAACTACCGGCTGGGCGTCCTAGGTAAGGAACCTGCTGTAAAGTGTGATGAACAGCCATTGTTGACTTGCTTATATTTTTACGTTTGTTCTTCTTTATTGGTGATTCCAGTAGCTTAGCATGGCAGCTAAGCCTATTGGAACTTGTTAGTTTCTTTCTTTCTTTCTTGGAGAAGTTTTAGCTTAGCATAGAGGGTAATGATATGAGGACTTCTAGCAATATAACTTCCTTTTGTTAATGGGGATTCTATTAGCTTAGCATAGAGGCTTTTTTTTTATCAGTGCTTTGTACAACATGTCTTTCTTGTGTCATTGGTTTTCTATTAGCTTAGCATAGAGTAAAAAGATATGGGGCCTTCATACAAAACATATTCCTTTTGATATTGGTGATTCCATTAGCTTAGAATAGAAGCTAATGATATGAGGCCTTCTTACAAAATGTCTTCCTTTCATTATTGATGGTTCTATAAGCCTAGCATAGAGGCCAGTGTTATAAGCACTCCATACAATATGTCTTCTTTTTGTTATTGGTGTGTCAATTAGCTTAGCATAGAGGCTAGTGTTATAAGGACTTTGTACACTATGTCTACCTTTTGTTATTGGGGATTCTTTCAGCTTAGCTTTGAAGTTAATGACTTTATTTCTGTCCTTCTTTACTGGTGATTCTGTTAGCTTAGCATGGTGGCTAATGCTATTGGGACTTCTTACTTTGTTTTCCTTCTCTTGTTGTTGTTACCATTAGAAACACCCTCTCTCTCTCTCTCTCTCTCTCTCTCTCTCTCTCTCTCTCTCTTCTCTCTCTCTCTCTCTTGGTGATTCTATGTGTTGTTGCTAGAATTGTCCAATGACTTTAGCTTAGCTTGAAACTAATAGTGGGTGTTTTATTTGCATTGTTTCTTTGCTGCATTGCTGTTTCTTTTCTAACATTATTCTACCCTTGGTCATTCTGTTGATGGTGATATGAACATGCTAATGCTGGTTGTATTACATGAAGCTTAAGTGTGTTTCTTGTTCAAATTGAAGATGAGCTCCGCACGTTGTTTCATTCGTCGTTGCTAATGCTATCGACGGGACTGGTTTCTGCGGCTGACGTCTGCTCTCACTGCTGGAATATGAATCTGTGCTTCGTTGATATTCTTCCTTGATATTATAGTATGAAGATCAAAGACAAAAGTAGACTTGCAATAATACATATCTTTTCTTTTATTTAGTAGCTTTTAATGAATCATGTCAATGTCTTCCTTGATCTTCAGTTCCTCTCCCTCGTCTGTTTTATCTAATCTCATTCCTTTCCTTCTGCATATGGCGTCACTGCTTTACCCAGAGGGCAGGTATATATATATATCATGACATATCACAGAGACAAAGGTTCGCTGCCCCTGTCCTGAATGAGATTATGTTGTCATTTGTTTGGATGGAAGGCACAGATTCCATTTACGTGTTTCTTTTGTTTCATTTCTTTCTCTTCTTTTCTTATTAAATTATAGCAGAAGGAAGATATGGGACAATATCCGCCTTTCACTCAACTAAAATACAGTTAGTCTTGGGGGGCTTGTGTGTGTGTGTGCATATATTTGTGTGAGCGTGTGCATAAAGAATGCGCATAAAGGCTTAAAGGCGAGTCTTTGAGATGCTGATTGCAGAAAACATGAGAAACACAACATTATTTTCACTGCAGGAGGTCTGCTGTAGCTCTCTATTCTCTAAGTTGTTCAGGCTCTGATCTCTGTTGTGTGACTTACAGTATATATAGTAGAAATTGTAAATCCTGAATATCAGGGAAAAATCCTGATACTTTGTCATGTATCTGATCTGATAAAACACTCTGATTTCCCTGATAGCTATAAAATCAGGTCCAAGAAAGTTGAACCAAAATAAAAATGTTCCAGGCATAGACGCCAGTGGAGCAATTGCAGTTCACGTCTCTTGGAGATATAACTGTCAGTCCGCCGCTGACTGGATGGACAACCTCCCTCAGCAACCTTCAAGCCCTGCCAAAACCACACAAGTGGATATTAAACAAGTACTCCATCATCTGTAATTACCAATCATTCATTTCTTTTCAATACCCACTTATTCCTTCTCTCGGTCATGGGGGAGCAGGATGCTTTCTCCTGGGTGCAGGAGGAACACATCTTTTAAAAGAGAGCTGTGTACAATATACTGTGGCGAGCATGAAGGAGAAATATTTAATTTAAGAGAAATTTCTGAGCATGTGCATCAGAAATGAGATTTAAGTCCTTAACACCCCTGTTGCCTTGCTGCAACAGTGCTGAACTTGTAAACGCTCGTGATACACAACATGACCTTTGTTAAATTGTAATCACTAAAGTATTACACACAGATACTGTGATTGGATTAGTGGGGAAGAAAAAGAAAAAAGAAAAAGAAAACCATTCAGAAAATAAAGCAAAGGCCATAGAGACACGACAGAAAAAAAAAACAATGCGAAGAATAAAATAAATCCCCATGTGCAGATTATAATTATTTTATTATCCATATCTCGCTTTCTCTCTTTCTGATGTGCGAGCCCCCATAAGTGCCGCCGGTCTCACTGCGTTGTGGGAAACTGTATCCCTGCTGGTTAACATGAGGCGCCGCTGTTTGCTCCCAGATTAGACTCTATGTGTTTGTGTTTACCCCCTTGGCAACGAGAAAAAGCATACGGCTTTACCTCGCCAAACATATGAGTGTGGGTTTGTGTGTGTGTGTGTGTGTGTGTGTGTGTGTGTGTGTGTGTGAGTGACAGGCAGAGAGTGTGTACTCAGCTACAGTGGGTGTAAGGCTCATAACCGCTGGGCTCTCCAGTCAGTCATCCAGTTTTGACTTGAGTGTACAAGTGAGTTCATTAAGTAGCTTCACTGGCAAAAACAGCTTTCTTAAAAATCCTAGAAGTCCAGAACCCAGGATAATGAAAAAAAATGTGTCCTTTATAAATACAGTACTGTGTAATTATAGAAGTGGGTCAAATTGTTCTATCACCAACCTCACATCATCAAGATGGGTCCAGTATTTGGCTTGGGGCTTTAAAATGTCTTTGTATTAGAGCCTGACCGATAAATCGGGAGGTCGATATTAGCATATCACGTGACTAATGGTGGTTAATCTTATCTCTATTATGTGCCGATATAACTAGGTTTCTCAAATTTAAGTTACTTTACTTACTTTCTTCTTCTTTATAGATCCATGGCAGGTACCGGCTGATATATCCTTATCGCAATTTTCTCTCTTTCTCTGAAATTGGTATCGACCCCAAATATTCCATATTTACATTAAATTGGTTTATTTTCCAATTCAAGAAACCTCTAAACTGTGAATTAATTGGGCAAAATGTCATATCATAATATTCAAAATTCTAAGGTATTTCCCAGAATTTTGGATCCCCCAAATAATAACTAACTAGAAGATTACCGGCCGTGCTTAGATTTTTTTCAAACCTACTCTCTGGTATTATTATTAAGTACGATTTAAAATAATGCATACTTTCACTGTATGAATGTTTATAGCATTTGTCTTCATGCATGCATTTTGCTGGGAGACTATAAAAATATAGACTTTTGATAAAAGTAGAAAGATGTGTCATTTCTAAAACACTGCAAACTATACCTTTATTTATATTTGGTATATGCACAGACTAATCAATGAAGCTTTATACCTGATAGTGTAACGTTAAGGTATCTTGTTGACCAATCATGTTGTTCAGCTGTTAAATTCATTGACTGCTTCTCTTTAACACTTGAACTGGTCTTAATGGGATTTAAAAACCTCAGTCAAAGTGGAACAAAGAACCAAAAGGGGTTATCTGAAATCACATGTTGAACACTGCTTTCACATTGAGAAAAAAGGGTTTTTCACAAAATCACTTTAGGTCTTACTTGTGAATGGCCACCATATGAAAAGTCCTTTAGGTTGGTGTCTTTGTAAAAAAGAAAAAAAAAAAGGTCTTCAGGGGAACCAGGGTTTACCGTGCATGAGAATGAATGGATTAATGAAGGTGTGCTGTATCCAGGAGGAACCCCAACATATTACTCATCTCAAAATTATAATTTCCAAAATCCTCCTAGACCGTGGTGTAGAATCCTTTCTTCATTTATAACTCTTAACAATCTCCCAGACACATAATTATGTCTTCTAGCTGGCCTGGATGCCTCCGTAGTTTGAAATGTGTGGTTAACCTTCCCAAGCCAGCCACTGCTGCACCTGTTGGCTTGGGGGATGCTACTTTGCTGACAGAACTCCCTACCCTCGCACCAGTGATTTCTCTCCTTGGCTTAGTGTTGGCTTTGTGGTTCTGTTAGAGCCAAAGCTTTGCAAGAAGCCATTAGTGGCTTTAAATATGCAGGGCTGCTGACGTGAAGCTGTATTTATTGTTTAAGGGCCTTGGCTACAATGGATTTGGCCATGGGGCACGTATATAGTATGCTTCTGTCAGTGTGTTTCCACTTGTGTGTGTGTGTGTGTGTGTGTGTGTGTGTGTGTGTGTGTGTGTGTGTGTGTGTGTGTGTGTGTCTGTGTCTTTAATGAATAAGGAGTTCCTGCCGTGTGCGGATTAATGATAGGTGTCACAATGTCATTAATAAGGGTTGCAAGACTTTTTATCTGTCTTGTGTCACTCCTCCAAAAACACAGCCGTTGGGATGGTTTTGTTTTTGCTAACATGTCAATTACTTAAAAAACGAGACTCCTATCATCCAAATATATTATTAAGATTTTCAGACAGGTGATAAATGAGGCCTTTCTGAGGGAATGTCATTATTTTTGAAAGCCTGTGTTGCTTTTGATACCTTGCTATCTAGCACCCACATCGGTCCACTGGTCCAACATGCACCGTAGTGGTTTTCTGACCCACTCAAGACCTCAAAACATTGATTCCAACTGCCAATACTTGAATCCAATACCTCCAGAGGGCTTGTTTGTTGTACTTCCAAACAGCCGACTGTGCCTTTAAGGCCAGGCCCTCCACAGTGTTGAGTTTGTTTGGGCCCAGCCAAAACCTTTAATCATGCTGATTGATGAGGTGCATTT